AGAAACTGAGACCCAGAACTGAGGCAATAATGGTATAGACAGAATAGAAGAGCCAGATTCAAGTTTTACAAAAAAGTAGAATCAACACTATCTGGGATTAACTAAGGTCTCAGTGATGAGGGAGACTCCCGAGACTCTACCTTATGTCATGAAGCAGGTGACGTTAATACCACTAAATGCAATGAGTAAAAAGAAGTTTGGGGGAGGTAAGAAAATAGAGTGGAGGAGATGAATTGCATTTTGATGAACTAGCATGTTGAGTGTGAACTGCTGTCAGGGACAGGTGCCTAGTGGGGTTAGAAATCAAATCTGAAACTCATATGAGAGAGCTGCCCTAGGGAGACAGATGCTCTTCAACGTTTATATGCAAAGTATAGTATAAGAAGTGTATGTCAAATACTGACTTAGAAGAGTCTAGGAAAACATATTATTGTTATTTTTTCCCATTACCAAACTGAAACATCTGAAATAATTAACTTGTAAAGGGAAAGGACTTATTTGGGCTTATAGTTTTAGAGGTTCTAGCTCAGGACTGGATAGACTCATTGCTTTTAGGCCTCTGGTGGCCCTGCTGGATGGCTATCATGGAGAGCCCACGGCAGAGCAAAGTGCCCACCTGATAGCCAGGAATCAAAAGAAAGAGAGGCAGGCGTCAGGGTCCCATAATCCTCCTTAAGGGCATGTCCCTCGTGACCTAAGGACCTCCCACTTGGCCTTACTTCCTAAATGTTCCATCATCTCCTAACAGTGCCACCATGTGGAGCAAGCCTTAAACACATGGGCCTTTCAGGGACACTCATCCAAACCATAACATTTACCATTGTTACTTTTAATCTTGAGATTTGAGAAACCAGGTAAGAGACAGAATTCCAATTGAGGCTATCATGGGAAGAGAAGCAAAAAGAAAACTGATCACTAGCTGAAAAAAACCTAAAATAAGACCTCAGCTCAGGAAATTTAATATTTAATGTTTACTATCATGCTCAGAGGCTGGCAGAGAGGCTCAAGTGATACAGCACCTGCCTAGCAAGTGTGAGGCCCTGAGTTCAAACCCCAGTACTGCCAAAAAAACCAAACCTATCCTGCTCAGAATTAACAATGAAAAGTTACTCAAGCTTAAAGTATAACAAGTCACAGAAAGGAGGAGGACAGAAAGAAAGTAGGAAGGACATGGCAAGGAAATACATGAAGTAAGAGGCAAGGAATGAAACCAAACAGAAGGTAAGGAGTTGATGTATTAAAAAAAGTAACCTAAACTTCTCCATCACTGGACACCAGCACATTCTTCTGATTCTCATATCAAGGGGTAATTTCTCATGTAAGAAAAATCAGTCATTTCTCGTATTTTACCTGTTCACACAGTACTGCTGGGCAGAGCACAGTTCCCGTGTCCTGAGAACTGGAGCAAAATGTTCCCCTGTGAGTGGACAGGAGAAGATGAAGAGGAAGTAGCATGGTAAACGATATTCTTGAAACTGATGTAGAAGAAGAAAGTATGAAGAAAAGCAAGGGCATCTATTCAAAACTAAGCAAAGTCAAATAACATAATCCTTGTGCCTTAGGAAACTGATGAATTTTGTTTCCTTTGGTCCATTTCATTGAGATGGATATTTCTATCTTGAGTGTGGCCACATGTAAGAGACAATGGAAAGTATTATAATGATTCTAGGGCTAGAGAAGGGAATTGCCTTGATTAAGGAGAGAGGAGGACACCATAGCATGTGCACCTGAGTGGGCTAAGAAGGTTCTAGTGGAACTTCAGCTCTGATGGGAAGCCCAGTTCCCTGATGCTCTGTCCTGCTCCTTAGCATACCGGTTTAGATAATTTTTAAATGAATTCTTTTGTATGTATTCAAGATATACAACATGATGTTATGAGACATAAACGTATCCATCATCACACAGCTACCTTTATTTGGGGGAGGGGGGCGTATGGCAAGAGAAGCTAAAGTCTACTGACTTAGCAAATGTCCCAAATACATTAGTAAGAGTAGTCCTCATGTTGTACACTAGGTCATTAGACTTGTTCATCCAATATATCTGCTGCTTTGAATCTTTTCAGTCCATACTTTGTCTTCTCAATCAAACATGTTAAGTGAAAGAGAAGGGAATGAGTCCCTGAGGGGCTTTTGCCCCTCTTCTCCTCTGGCTTTCCCTTCATTAGCCCACTCACAGCATCCCACAAAATGAATAGGAAGGATCCTGCAAGTTCATGAGCTGTCAAGCAGCATGGTCTCTTTAGACAGGGCTTGGAAACACACAAAGAATCTTGCATTGCATGGTTCAAATTCTGTCCAGAGTAAGAAAAAGTGAAATGGTGTTTAAAGCACTCAATGACCAGCACACTTACAGCTATTACAGCACAAAATCATCACTATTCCAAGAATGGCACCAGAGTGCAGTGGAAAGGTTACAGGTTTTTATTACATACTTGTCAGTCTTGTTATAAGGCGATATATTTAATTTAAAAACTGCCTATCAATTACAAAGCTCTATGCAAAAAATTTTAAGGATTTGTATACATTAGCTTAAAAGGTATAGAATACATGCAGTAGATAGGGCCAAAGAGCCCTTTGGGACAGTCTAAAAGAATATCATTAATTTTTACAGTGTACTTTCATTGCTGGAGCAGTTCCAGCATTGGCTTTCTATAAAAATCATTTCAAGTTTAGAATTATGCTATATGCTTGCAGCAACATCACAGAAACAGTAGTGCACCATATGTTGCTACTTAGCAACTTAGTCTTTAAGTCCCAAAGCATGTACTGATTTGAAAATTGAACAGGAATTATAATTGTTGAGTGATGCTTTGAGGCAAGTTGTCTTGGATTATTAAACTATGCAGCTGTTTGATGTTATATAGGAAAAGGAACAAAACTATTTTTTTTCCTTGCAGGATGACAAAAATCTTATTTATGGCTGCCTAAAGGGGTAAATTGATTAAATTCCCTACAAGAACACAGGTAATGAATGCTTGAATGTACTATGTTACAGTAAACAAAAAGAATGTGAAGTGTAAAATTTGGCTAAGGCCACTCAACTTATGTAATTCATGAAGTTTATTTCCCTCCAGGGGACGTATTGTCTTACATTACTCTAATTTTTAAAACAGCTCATTCTAAAAACATTTTCATATATGCTGCATACTTTAAAAAAAATAGTTTGCTTCTGGCTCAAAAACTTTCCATATCTTTAAAAAGCACAAAAGTATTTGGACCTTTTCATTCCTCCTTTATAAAATACTACTGGTGTTTGAAACATTCTTAGTAACTCCTAGCCAAACTATTAAGAAAAATAATGTTTATTGTTTGATTTTAACTTAATATTGCCCATTGTACTTGAATTTAGAAATCTAAGGAGCCAAGTTGTTATGATGCATATGTTCTGAATTTCCAATTCTTTATCCAAAACTCTTTAAGATGGACATAATGATTCTCTGAAAGAGAGCAGCTGCTTTATAACAGTGATCATTTATTGAGTTTGTGTTTCTACTGTTTCAAACAAATTCAATTAGCCCTTACACTTCAAAACCCTACAGGCACCAAAGAGATGGTACCGGGTTGCTTTAATCTAATAGTAATACTAAACTTGTCAGTACAGTTTTGGGATTGATGGTTAGAAGAAAATTAATAGTAACATTTTTCATTTTTTAATCAAACAGTCCTATTCAGAACTACCTATGGTTCTTGGAGGCTACTTAGCTGAATGAATTCAGCTAAGAATGAATTCTAAACACAAAGCTCGCCTTCCAAAAGTATTCTTAGACTGATCAACTCAATGGAATGGAAGGAAATGTAGTCAGGATCTTTGAACTTCACGAAGACCTTTTTGGCTGAACAATGTAGCAGAGTATCCAGGCGTCTGCAGAGAAGGCCCTGGTTATAATGACTTCTAAATAAATGCAGATTCATGGAGATGCAGGGCTGCCTGTTTCGAGTTAAGCAGGAGACATTTTGCTCACAGAGTGTACCTCTAACATACACACTGGATTTAATTCCCTGACAGCCACAATGAAGAGAAACAGTTTTATACTCCCCTCTGCTTCCCCTCCCCACATAGTTATCAAATCTACTTGGACAGATAAATAGGCATTGAAAACTACTATGCTAGAGTTTAAACCATAGTGACTGACACGTGAAATGCCAAGCAACCAAGGTTTTACTGTTCTAGAAAAAAATAGGTTCGGGTCCACAAAATATTCTTGTGAACTTGCCTTACATTCATTTATTCACTTATTTATTTTTGCTTACAGTGTTCTTATATTTTATGTTAGACTGGCACCCTAGGGCAGTTATAATTTTGCTTTAAATGCCCTCTGTGGATTAAAGGGCCTGGTCTTAAGTATCCAAAAATAAATAGTCAAGCATTTACTTTTATAAATGTAACCATTTACATTCTCATTGGACCTTTGTTGTCACTTTTCATGATTAAATACTTTGTCAACCATTTCTAATGAAATGATTACAAAGGTGCCCTTGAAAGGTTTCAGTCATATCTTGCTTGGGGGCCTGAAAACTATAGCTCCTGCCACCCCAGCCCCCCAGATCCTAAAAGCAGCCTGCTAGGGCCCACTGACCATGTTATCTTGGTGGTGAAAGCAACATTTTGTTGAAAATGGCCCCAACAGTTGATAATTAAAGTTATTTGTGACATGTGTAGCTTATAATGATTAACTCATCTACAGTCAGAAGCACAAATAACCTGCACCTGTAAAGACTTTATTTCCTAAAGGTAAAACAACTGTTTAGAAAAGATCATGCTGGCAAAACAGCTGCTTGCCGTTCTGGAGAGGAAACAAGGTAGCATCTTTCGACAAATGCCAACTCCGGTATTTTATCAGCTCATCTCATTAACTGGAAACAAGGCTTAAATGCTTTGTTTATAAATTATGATTATTCCTGATTGCGGCAGTTACTGATAGTACTACTCATTTGCAATGCAACTCTTTGAATTTGTTTAATTACAATTTGAAACAAGGCAGAGAAGATTAATTAACCCACCTGGCTGGCTGGCACATAGTCCTGGCTCGGCTCTGTCATGCTCATATACATGTTCTCACCGTCAAACTGCGAATGAAATAATAGTAAACATTCAGCAATCTTGACTGTGTGTGTGTGTGTGTTTTTTTTTTTTTCACCATCAAACTGGAAAACAGTAGCCATAAAAAAAAGTACTGTGACTGGGAATATGAAAAATCTGTTATAGAGATGGAGGCACATCTTTCTTTGATGTTTCTGTTGTCATCCTTACTGACCCTGGATGTCAGTGATTTGGAGTAATTAGTGCTCTAGTAATTACAGCAAGCAAGCAAGAAATGAATGGTTTCCTTTCATCTGCAATCTGTTTTAAAACAAAATGGCTCATTTTGCATGCCATGTATACATATTGCAGTTCGGCTGTAATGAAGTATTAAATGAATGGCATGATTTCTGAAAGAAAAGAATAATGGAACATACAAGGAGGCATAACTCAGTGCATTCTGAGTTTAGTTGTCCAAAAAGAAAAAGTGTAGTTTTCATAATAGACTAAAACTGGCTTCACTATAATAGCTTTCTGATTAAATTTTTTTATTTCACAGTAATATTTGAAAAGAGCATGTGCCAGTATAACCATGGCTGGAAACATTCTAAGAATAACAATGAATAACAACAAAAACACACAGGTGCAACGGTTAAATTTTCCTTTCTGAAAATTTTCAGAGACATAGAATGATTACAAGTATTACAAACACATAGAAATTTACCCAAAAATTCTCAAGTTAGTGAGCAGGGCAGCCTAGTTGCAGGAGGACTACCAAACAATTCAAGACACAGCAATAACAACAAAATACTCTTCCTGACTTTGGTTTTTGGAGGCAGTAATCACTGTGTTCCAATTAATTCTCTGCTATCCTTAGTCACTTAGTAAATGGTCAAAGTATTCCTCTTTAGTTAGAGAAAGCATTTTTCCCAAGGTCAAATGGACAAATATAACCATCTTCAAAGAATTGGGACTGACTACAGTTCAATGACCGATTTTCAGACACAGGAACCTGAAAATGTGAAAATTACTTCTCGAAACAAAAATAGTTATTGAAGTTATTGATAGAGGTACTAATACACTGTAATATGGACACATTTTACATACCAAAGCACAAAAAAATGAATTATATCCAAGCAGAAATGAAAAATATGTTACTGACATCACATTCCATCAGCTATGAGCTGCTGGCCTTGTAAGAAGGCACTATGGCATCTGAACTATAGTCAGCAGTAGTGAGCACACTGAAGAGTCACATAAAACTAGGTTGCAAAAGTAAAAGCCTCCCTAAAGACACTGACACATCCACTAGGTTGACCTCAAACAGTCAAAGGATTTCTCACATATCACCCTGTAAATATATCTCACATGTTGCAAACAACTTATCTATACAGATAAGAAATCGCTTACGGAATGCTATGGTTGTTAGTATAAATAAAAAAAATAACACAACTAGGAAAGAAGAGCTGGACATTTTGGCTGCTTTGTTGATTGGCTTAGAAGCCCTGAGTCCCAGTGACTTACCCAAGGGTGCTGTCCCATTGATCAGATGAAATTCAACCTAAAGGCAGACTGGGCCCAATCCATCCCCGTTCTTCCTAACAAAGTGAGTCCTGACAAAGAGCTCCATCCTGCATTTTCCCAGCCTCACCCACTGTTGGAGTACACTGGTTTGTTTGCAAATGTTTTTAATGTTAAGATGCCAAAGAACCATTTAAAATATGGACAGTTTCTTTGACTGTAACAAACTAAACCAAACAGAAGTAGTGAAGTGAATCAATTACTCCATTGCCTATGCAGATTCTGTAAATGTGTTACTTTCTATTTCATCTTCTCTAACTCAGTTTCTAAATCTGGTGTCATTCTCTAGCCAACTAAGGCTTTGAAGTTTTGGTTTTAGTGTATCCAAAGTGAACGCTAATTGAGTATATTCATGTTGCTGCTTTGGAAAAAGAATTTTTCCTCAAAAAAATTCCAGTACTTAAGAAATTCTGAGCCAAGGTTGAAATAGCATTTTATGATAAAGGTATGTGGCTATAAATATTATAACTATATTTGAGTATATTCCATGTCTCTGCTATCTGTACATGTTTTAAGTGCTATGTATTACCTGATTTAATCTTTGCCACAACCAAGAGTCAGGTATTATAATTACATGTATTTTTCAAATGAAGATAAAGGCATACAGAAAATAAGCTTGATTCTCAAAGTTACATACCTTCTAAGAGGCATGGCTGGGATTCAAACCCAGGCAGATTGGCCCATGCACTTAATTACTAGAGCATATCAGCATATATTGAGTCACAATGATGAATTAGCTATCAATCCTGAAAATAGCATCAACAAATTACCACAGCAGAGTGATGGCCGTATGGGTTGAATATCCCTAATCTGAAAACTGGAAATATGAAATGTTTCAAAATCCAGAACATTTTGAGCACTAACATGACGCCGCAGTGGAAAATTCCACAACTGACCTCATGTTGCAGTCAAATGCAAGCACACTAAAAATAGTGCATAAAGTTACCTTCGGATTATGTGTATAATGATACAAATGAATTTTTTGTTTCAACTAAAGTCTTACCCCAAGATATCTCTGTATGTGTATGCAAATATTCTGAAACCAGAAAAAACATGAAATTTGAAATACTTGTTCTAAGCATTTCAGATAAGAGATATTTAACCTATCTCTCAATGACTTTTAGACATTGTACAGAATTTCTGTGGTATTGTGAAGTTTATCATCTCCCCCCAAAAAAATGGCAGTGAACTGACAATTGAGTAGTTGCCCAGATAGAATATCATTGGGTGCTTAAGTGACTAAAGGGGTTTTCATGGTTAATTTTATGTGTCCACTTGACTGGGCCAAGTGATGCCCAGATATTTGATTGATGTTATTCTAGGTATGTCTATGAAGATATTTTTGGGTAAGACTGGCATTTTAGTTGGTAGACTGAATAAAGCAGATGGCCGTCCTGATGCAGGTGGGCATCATCCAGTCTACTGAAGGTCTGGATTCCCCCTGCTCAAAGGCTAAGGTGAGACATCAGTGTTTTCCTGCCTTGAACCCAACTGAAATATTGGCTCTCCTTAAGTCTCAACTCTGACAGCTATCAGACTGGAGCAACATGCTCAGTTCTCCCCAATGCCAGCTACAGATCTTGAGATGGTTTTGTCTCCTCTCTTCTTCTTCTCTCTCTCTCTCTCTCTCTCCCTAAGTACAAACACATATCCTTATACAGGTGACTTCTTCAGTTACTCTCGGGAAATTCAGAAATCCTTCAAAAGCATATTTCTGGCCAGGCATGGTAGCTCACACTTACAATCCTAGCTCTCTGGAGCCTGTGACAGGGGGATCAGTAGTAGAGCCCCTCACTCAAAAGAAAAGAAAAGAAATGAAAAGCCCCACGTATTTCTGAAGGGTCTTTAACGTAGAAATACTTATTTCATGCTCTCACTAGCTTTCTAGAGACCAGGCCCATGTTGGTTTTGCTATGAGACACCCTGGTCTTATTCCCCACCATGCCCATTTCTTGTGATGGTGCACTCCTCGCACTGTTTCTCCCTTTGTACACAATGCCTTCTTTCTCTTTTACTTTCTGAAATATTTCTTTGAGTCCGTGGTTCTCCTTAGTTAGGACCTGGCCATCTCTGGTCTCCACTGGGCAGTTCTCCATCTCTGGGAAGTTAGAAGACCAACTGCACTGGACTATGAGCTACCTGGGAATGCAGTTCACATCTTAGTTACCTTTCCTGCTGCTCCAGCTTAGGGTCAGCACATGGTAAGTCCTCAGGGAGTGTTTACTGTCAATTAACAAAATACAAACTGTATTTGTTTGATGACATAAATTACCTTCCTAGAGAAAGTTACAGTGACTATAAAAGAGGAAGAAGATTCAGAGCTTTTAGAGAGACTGTTTTTGATGACTTTTAGAATTTTTTGTTTTCTTTCTTTCTTTCTTTCTTTTTTGAGGTATTGAGGATATAACCCAGGGCCTGGTAGATGCTAGGCAAATGCTCTACCACTGGGCTGCACACCCAGCCCTGTTTCTTTGAAGGGCATTGACTCAAATTCTTACAATGGATTAAAACTGGCTAATATAGGAACAGAAACAATTAAAGAGAACAACGGAAAAAGGACAAAAATAGCCAGTGCACCATTACTCAAATTCTATATCCCTTTAATATTTTTATTTTGTAAAGTTTTCTTTAATATAAAATATACGGATTATGCAGGAATCAAGAGACCTAGTTATACCTCAGTGTATGTCTTCTTTCTGAAGAATTTTGAGTTGCCAAACCAAAATACGTATGTATCAAAACAGTCCCCTCCTTCTCCTCGCATTGGAGGCTTCTAGCTAGAGAAACTCCTGGGGAGGTGGGTAGTAAGCAGACTCCTCCTCCATCCGGCTATACTTATCACCCTGTACTTTCACAGCTCAACCAACTCTGCCCTGTCAAGGAGCTGCTGCCAGGGGTCTCTGTAAGCCTCCTGCTGACCCAACAACTTTAAAAAAGCATCTTATATCATGAGTTTATGACCAGTTATCATTAGAAGTAGAATTACAACTCAGAGAATCCTAGAGTTTTAGTTTTAGAAAGATCCCTGAAGACATCTATCTGAATCTCTTGTGTCATGATGGAAGAAATAGTCTCTTGATTGGTCAAACAAACCATCTGAAAATAAAACCAAGGTCCACATTCTTAATAGAAAAGTTTTCCACTATAACATTCTGCTTTATATTCTATCATCCACAAAAAGTAGAAACCAGACTCTAGAGCTGCACATGCTCCTCAACTTACAATGGGATGACATTCTGACAAAGACAGCATTAAATTAAAAACATTGTGAGACAAAAATGCTTTGAATAGCCAGGCACTGGTGGCTTATGCCTGCAACCTAGCTACTTGAGAGGCTAAGATCAGTAGGATCATGGTCCAGTCTTAGCAAAAAAAGTTCATAGGATCCCATCTGAACCAAAAGTTGGGCTTTGTGGTGAATGCCTGCCTGTCATCCCAACTGTGCAGAGGTTGAGTCAGAAGGATT